AAAGATGCAACGGTGAAGCCCACAAGCCCCGGGCGGGGGGCAGCCGGGACCCGGCCCTGCGCTGCTGCGCGGTCAGGGCTTCGCTCGCAGCTTTGCTGTCTTGATTGTAGCTGCCGATGACTGGAGATGTCGCATGTGCCCCTGCAAAACCCAGCCGCGACTCTGTGAGTCTTCTCCTCCTGCCCGGAGGGGAGGTCAGCGCGTGGCTGTGGGCTGTGGTGTCTGACCCGCCGCCTTCCAGTGTCGCGGGGGAACGGGCTGTGCAATTGTGTAAATAAAAGTGAGACGAACTCTGGGCTGTGGCGTGGCTACTGGAGGGGAGGGGAGGGCCCGAAGAGCCCGCGCTGTCTCCCTGACAGCGAGCTGGGTGCTGCGTGGGCAGCTTTCCTACCCTGCCCCCACGAGAGTGGGCAGAAGGGCTCGGATTTACGCCAAAGCTGGACAAACCCAGGGGTTTCTGTCCTCCTCTGGGCTGGTTTCTCTTGTCTGTGCACAGAAACCTCCCTGGTGCGGGCCAAGCCGGGAGGTGATGGTTGGGCCAAGGGAGTCCTTTTGGCCTCTCCCCAGGGTGGGCGTGGGGCTGCCTGGAGCCATCCCAGTGCTTGCTGGGGTCATCCCAGTGCTCCCTGGGGTGTGGGAGGCTCCCGCACTGGTGCTGCCCCAGTGCCTGCCCAGCCCTTCGCTCCGCTCTGGGGTGCTGGGAGATGCTGGACCCATCATCCAGTCCATGTTCCTGTCTGGTCGCCGGCGAGGCCTCGGGGGGCCGTGTCCGAGGCTGCAGCTTGCAAGAGCTGCTGGCGGCTGCGGCACCGTGCTGCGGCACGGCAGGGCTGCGGGAGGTGGCACCTCGGCGCAGAGACCCAGGGACACAGCGTCCCTCTCCCTTGAAACAGGGCACGATCTCCAGCTGCAGCGTTACCGGCCACCTCCATCTAATCCAACAGGAAGAGAACAGAAATGCCCAAGTCTGCTCATTCCTGGGGTGCTCCTGCCCTGGACTCTCTTGGGTATGAAAACCAAACCCAACCAAACAAGCAGAGGTGTCCGGGCTGGCACCAAGCAGGTTCTCCTTCCTAGAAGTCGCGCGCAGCTTCGCCGTCAGGAGTGGGCCCCGCCAGCTGACCTGCGGGTGCTGCATTTTTAGGAGCTTTCTCTCCTGAAACGGGCAGACACAGACCCTGAACCTGTTGCCTTCCGTTCCAGCTGGGTGTCTTTGTCTTCGTTCCCAATGCCCAAACCAAGCAGGTGACCTCCCCCATCGGAGGGTCCCGACCGGCACAGCCCTGGCAACGCGGCTCCTCGGCAGCTCTGTCCCACCTTGGCACCCTGGCAGCAGCCCCCCAGCCCCACCATTCCCCTCGCTGCAGCCACGCACGAGTGGTGAGGTGGCACCCGGAGCCGGGTCACCTCAGGGCCAAGCTCTTGTCCCTGGGGAAAGGCAGCGCGGCAGCCACCCAGCACTGAACACCAGCAGGATTGGATCCCAGCGCTGCCAGTGTTCTCCCAACTGGAGAACGGGACGAGGGTGGGGGGACTAAGAAGAGAAGAATGAGAAGGAAACCTCCAGAGGAGCTGGGGCAGGTGCAGGCAGTGTCTTTTCACAGCTGCAAACCATGAGCTACAAGGAGGAACAGGAGGAGATGTTCGGGAGCGCAGGGTTGGACCCAGACCCCAGCAAGGAGGCACTGGCTGCTGCGGATCTGAGAGGGGCTGCAGTGAGGTCCCTCACCGAGGGACCCTGTGCCACCTCCCGCAGCATCTCAGTAGGGTTCCTCTCCTTCGCAGCTGGCCAGGGAGACAACAGGGCTCTGGCCTCCACACCGTCGTGGATTAATATGAAGAGCTTGATCTCTGACACGGAAAATGTTTGCTTGCTGTGACACTGGGAGAGTTTTGCCTGCGTGCCTGCCCTGCCTGCAACGGAGGGGTGACAGACCCCATCAGTGACCGGCTTTCGGCTCAGGGATTTGCTCACCCACCCAGGGTCTGCCGGGAGACCGGCACAGACGGAGAAGTGGTCCACACACGCGGGTGGCAGGGGCAGGAGTGGATTAGAGAGGCAAGGAGATCTGGTTAAGTATCTTTAAATCCCTACAAAATGGCTATCGGTGACGTGCATGCCAATTCATGCCAATGCTGTCAGCACTGCTGATATTTAAATACAACCAACAGCTGCCGGAGCTCAGAATAAATGGAGGGGAGGGGGTGGGTGTGAGCAAGCAACAACACACCCGAAAGCAATCATCCTGGGGTTAATTGGGGCTGGGAGCAATCGCTCCGCAGGACTGTGAGCTGCTGCTGGAAAGTGGAGCACAAGGGGAAACGCCGAGGAAAGACAGAGCTGAGCCAAAATGGGCTGCAAACATCGCGGTGGAGGCTCCTGCCTGCTTGTGAGCGTGGGGGGAGCACCGTGAAGGGCGTCATGAAGCACCAGAAAATGAAAAGAAACTTTGTCTTTGCAGCTGTACAACCTGCAAAGGAGGAAAAGGCAGAGAGGGGAAAACCTGAATGGCTGTGGGCAGCGCGGACGTAGGAGGAGCAGGACGAAGGGGAGCTGGGCTGGGGAAGGGGGGTCTGCACCGTTCGCGGGGTGACCGATGGAGGACCACCTGCCGAGGACAGCGGGGCTCCTGCTGGGTTAGGCTCAGCCAGATCCGAACAGCGGTGCTGCCTTGAATTTAAACAAGGGCAGGACGGAAGGCGCCTGGAGGAGCACTTAATTACCTGCATGCAGCATCTCTGTCCCATGCTGCTGGAAAGGGGATAGCCCTGAAAGGGCTGTTTCAAGGAGTGGTTTCTGCAGGGTGGTGACAGTGGTCAGGTCTGGTAAGGACAAAAAGGAGCCATCCCAGGGTTTTTCATGCAACGTTGTCCTCATGGGCTGGTGGATGCCTTCACAACAACCCCATGCAATGCTAACAGACTTGGGGAAGAGTGGCTGGAAAGCTGCCTGATGGAAAAAGATCTTGGGGTGCTGGTGTACAGCCAGCTGAACATGAGCCAGCAGTGTGCCCGGGTGGCCAAAAAGGCCAACGACATCGTGGCTTGGATCAGGAATGGTGTGGCCAGCAGGACCAGGGCAGCGATCCTGCCCCTGTGCTGGGCACTGGTGAGGCCACACCTCGGGTCCTGTGCTCAGCTTTGGGCCCCTCACCACAAGCAGGACATGGAGGGGCTGGAGCGTGTCCAGAGCAGGGCAGCGAGGCTGGGGAGGGGGCTGGAGAACCAGTCTGATGGGGAGCAGCTGAGGGAGCTGGGGCTGCTCAGGCTGGAGAAGAGGAGGCTGAGGGGAGACCTTCTCGCTCTCTGCAGCTCCCTGCCAGGAGGGGGGAGTGAGGGGGGTTGGGGTCTTGTCCCAGGTAACCGGCGACAGGACGAGAGGCAATGGCCTCAAGGTGCATCAGGGGAGGTTTAGATTGATTATTGGGGAAAATTTCTGTACTGAGAGAGTGGTCAGGCATTGGCCCAGGCTGCCCAGGGCAGTGGGGGAGTCCCCATCCCTGGAGGGGTTCAAACACCGTGTGGACGTGGCACTTGGGGACATGGTTTAGCAGGCATGGGGGTGTTGGGGTGACAGCTGGACTGGATGATCTTGGAGGTCTTTTCCAACCGGAAGGATTCTGCGGTTGTATGACGTGCACGGGCTGGGGTCACTCTGTGCGCAGTCCCTGTGCTGCACGGCTCCTTACGTGTCTCTGCTCACAGCTTTGAGGGCGTTCTTTGCAGATGTGATGTTTTTATCTACCTGTCGGAAAGCTTTCCAGTCTGCAAAAGCCCACGCTCCCTGCCAGGAGTCAAGGCTGTAACTGCACCCTCCATGCTTTTTTTGTTGCCGTTTCTTGACCGATGTCTTCCTGTTGCTGCAGTTTCCCTTTTTGTGCTTTGTGGCTTTTTTTTGATTTATCAAGGCTTCATGAGGGCAATGGGAGTCTCTCCTCAGGACCACGTTGTGTGGTTTACGTATATGACATTATATTCTCCTGCCTTGGTGGCCCCTCCAGCGTCCCTCCGTGCGCTGCTGTCTGCCAGACCAGGGTGGAAACAGTGGCTGTGATCAGTCTGTAGTGTTCTTTTGATTTTTGGCATCTGACTCCACAAGGATTCTGCCCACGCAGGTGGGTTGTGGTTCCGCTCCAGCTGCTGGTGCTGAGCTCCTCACTCACCCCAGTCCCCCCAGTTGCTGGTTTTGGGGATAGACCCTCTGCCATACACAGTGGCTGGCATGCGGGACCCCCACCTGCTCCAGCAGCTGCACCGAGACTCGACTGACTCCAGGAGCTGCGACCCTAGCCCCGGGGTGCCTGCACCCCCCATCTGGCTGCGGGCACTGCCACCAAATCTACTTGCACTGGTCCCCCCAGTAACTGGCACTTGGTCCTTGCAGCACTCGCACCCATGGGATACAGAGAGATGGTCCAAAAGATAGTGAAGAAAGGATTTAACGAGAAAGTGGGACTGACTGTGGTGATCAGGTGCAGGGCTGGGTCTGACGAGCGCTCTGACCAGCTCCACCTTACCCACTGCCAGTCCCTTTTGTAGCCCTTTGTGCCTGTTCCTCCTTGGTTCCTCCCCAGTTCCCTCCCTCTGCATGTTCCCTCATCACCTTCCACAGTCGCCCTGACCCCTGCGAGCGTCCTGGTCCCACAGGTCCCGAGGCTGACGCTGTGCCAGAGGCTGCTGATGTCCAGCCCAGGGATCAGCCAATTTTCTGGACACAAAGCATGGGGTGGTGGGGAGCTCCTAAAAGGAGTCTCATCTTCCAGGAGCAGATACAGGCACAGCTGGAAAGCCTCAGGAGAGAGAAAGGAGAACTGGAGGAAAGGGAAAGAAAGGAGCGGTGGATCTGCCAGGACTACCTGGTAGGTGCATGGTGCTACTGGGAAGAAGTTCATCTGGGGAGGGTGAAGCAAGGCTGGTTCTTGGCCTTGAGCTGGGAGGTTGAATTGCGGTGTCCAGCTGTCGGTGCCCGATGAGCACCCCGGGAATCACAGCCATGCTCCACACCAGAAGGTAAAAGCCGTGGATGCTTTTAATTGCTGCCTGTCCCTCTCTGTGCTCCCACCCTCCCCTGAGAGGATTGTTTCTGCTCCGAAAGGAGAAAGTGAAGGCGGAGAGGCAGAGGATTGTGCCTGCGTTTAAGCAGCTGCGACAGTACCTGGAGGAACAAGAGTGCCTGCTGCTGGCTCGGCTGGGAGAGCTGGAGAAGCAGGTTGAAACAAGACTGAAAGAAAGTGCTGCTACATTCTCCAAGAAGATCATTCATCTGGATGGCCTGATCAGGGAGAAGGAGTCTCGGCTGCCAGGACAAGAGTCCCCGCAGGTGGGGTCTGCCGAAACACCGGCACATTGGAAGCACGCGAGGGGCTAATCTTACCTTGATTAGCTTATTAATCTTGCCTTGCTGGTGTACCTGCTCACTGTGGAAGGGGAAGGTGAGGAACGTGTGTGCAGGACAAGTAGCACTGAGCTGCTTCTCTCTTTCTCCCACCCAGGACACCAGTGACGTTCTGAGCAGGTATGTGGTGCTTTCTCCTGTACTTCGCGCTGCTGCTTTGCCCTGCCCTCGGACAAAGCCGGATACCTCAGACACCAGGGGTGCCCCATCGGTGCTCATATTTCAGTTTTCTGGAGGCGGATGAACCGGTACGACTTGACCAAGAAGGTATTTCTGTGGGGAAATATTCAGGGAGGACATTTCATTTCCCAGGTCTCTGGTTGCAAGCCTGGTTGGCCTCTCCGTGACCGCTGTGTAGTGACGCTGAGGCGTAGAGACCAGGGCGTAGTGCCCTTGGCTCAGGGCTTCGGTGCTCAGTTGTGCTGCAGGTTTGATCTGGAGGGACAGGGTGACGGGGGGCACCAGGACCATCGCTCATCATAGAAATTTAAGTGATAATTAGCGCACCAGGACAGAGTAGTGACCCAGCTAATGAGACCTGCTGTCTCTTTTCTTGTTGATGCTCTTATGCTTAAAAAAAGAAAAGAAAAAAGAATGAACTTTCTGGAGGGTATTGATTCAGCTGGAAAGTGGCCTCTAGCAAGTGGTACTAACAGGAGACTGGGTTAAAGGAGAAATATAAATGCTGTGGCTTCTACAGCTCCAGGTGTGAGAGGGCAGATCTGCAGGGAGAGGAGCGGAGGAGCCACGAGCTGAAGAAGCAGCCCGGCGTCTGCTCAGAAAAAGCCCCCATGCTAGAGGAGACAGCAAGAAAACCCCAAGGTACAGAGAAGGGATCTCAGGGGAGAAGGGAGAGGCATCCCGGGGGTGGAAGAAAGGGGTGGTCAATGCCCTGCAGAGGGGAGGAAGAGCTGAACACCCTTGTGTAGCATTTGCCACCCTGGGGACATAAGGCAGAGGGGTCACAGCTAAAGCGGGAGAGTCTTGGGTTCCCTTTCTTCTTTTTTCCTCCGTTCCTCTCCTCTCTCTCTTGATCTACTGTTGCTTTTATTTTTTCCCCAAAAGAACAGTCAACATGAGTGTAGATTCACATCATCAGCTATGGAGCCCGCTAACAAATTGCTGTGCATGGGAACCTGTTTCACCACCCTTTGTCCAACGCCTGAGACGGGTGCTGCCACGGCTCTTTCTGCCCAGGATCTGTTCTCCAGGCCTGCTCCATGGCTGGAACAGGGTCAGGGATGTGAACAAGTCCCAGATGTCCCAGTATGCCCGGATGATTCTCAGCTCAGGCTCTCCTAATGAGGAGGCTCGTCCCCAAAGAATAGATTGAGATGACTGTTGGGCAGAGCCTGGCATAGTGCAGAGTAATTTAGGCTGGAAAGGACCTCTGGAGGTCATCCAGCCCAAACCTCAGCTCAAAGCGGGTACTGCTAGTTGGGATTGTTCTGTGTTTTCTCCAGCTGAGTTCTGAATATCTCTGAAGACAAAGATCCTGCAACTCCTCAAACCATCTTGGTGACCCCCTAGAGATGCTTCAGTATGCCTGTGTCCATCTCGTGCTAGGTAGCCCCAAATTTTTTTTGCTCCAGCTGCTTTAGGTTTCTTCCTTCCTGCTTCAACTGGCAAAGCCAGCAGGCGCAGCAAGCAAGCAGCGTGTGCACCGGGGAGGGAAGGGTGCAGCATCTCTGCCCACCAGCTCCCTGGAGGTGGTCTCCACAAACCACCTCCTGGTGCTGGTGGTGTTATCCGCACATCAGAGGTGACCTCTGGGCTCCATCTCTCTTTCAGATGCTTTGACAACCTACTCGGGGGATGGAGTGGAGAAATCACAGGGACCATACACAAAAGGTGAGTTCTGCTGGGGAACCTGCTTCAATTAACCCTGACTGCAAGGGATGCAACACATGTTTTGGGGGACAGTGAATCTTCACATGCCTTGGCTCAGGGCACAGAGCTGCTGCCCATTTTGAGCTAGGCAGCTTCTGGAAGAAAAGTATTGCCAGGTTTCCTCCCAGGCCAGGACCAAACATGGACCCAGCATGGTGAAACTCTTCCCACGGTTGATCTCTACCCCTCGTTCTTTGACCCGTCTTCTCTCTTGCAGTGAATGTGACTCTGGATCCAGACACAGCTCAGTCCCAGCTCGTCTTGTCAGAAGATCAGAGAAGTGTCATGCAGGCAGCCACACCGCAGAGCCAGCTTGACAACCCCGAGCGGTTTGACCCGTGGCCTTGTGTGCTGGGCTGCGAGGGGTTCGACTCAGGGCAGCCGTGCTGGGAGGTGGAGCTGGGCTATGGGACGCGCTGGGCCGTGGGGGTGGCCCTGGAGTCCGTCAAGAGGAAGGGACCGATTGACATGAGCCCGGCGGGGGGAATCTGGGCAGTGGGCCGGTATAAGGAGAAGTTTCAGGCTCTCACTTCCCCATGTCCCACCCCTGTCCTCCCCGACACAGTCCCCCGGAGGGTGAGGGTCTGTCTGGACCATGCAGGGGGGCAGGTGATGTTTGTCGATGTGGACAGCGAGGCTGTGATTTTCACTTTCCATAAAGCCGTGTTTGCGGGGGAGCGAATCCACCCCTGGTTCTGGGTGGGAAAGGGGTCCAAGCTCAAACTGCCCTGAGACCCGAGGAGGTTGTGTTCCTCTGAGGAGGCTCTGCTGCAGCCATCCTGCCCTCCTGCAGCCCCGTCTGGCTAGTCCTCGGGGACTCCCATCTGCTTACAGGTCTTCTGCCATCTCCATCCACAAACCTGCTGCTGTGAGCCTCGGAGGCTGTTGAACCTCGGAACTGAAGTAAAAGTTGCCTCGCTGGGAGCAGAGATCCATGGGCTTCCCCAACCTTCGTCCCACCGCAGAGGAAGAGGCTTAGAGCAGGGCTGTGGGTGAGGAATGGCCATTTCTGGGGACAGACTCTGTTTACAGGAGCCCTGAGGGGGACTGAGGGGCAGAGCAGTGGCATTGGGGTACCCAGCGATGGTACATTTTTACCTGGGGAAATAGAGGGGTTGGTAGGGAGGATGAAACCTTGCTCAGCAGCCCACCTGACCATGGGGCAATGCTCTGAAGCCTCGGCAGCCTCCATGCATTAGTCCCCGTGGTTGGCCTGATTTGATTCTGGTGTTAGCTCAAGAAAACACAAGTGAATATTCATCTTTTTGGGAGGTCCTAGTAGGATTTACATCTCCAAATGATTGTGTGGGTGGAATTATAATCTAGAATAATGATAAACTAATACCAAGAGTTTGCTGAAGTTTAGGAAGAGGCTGTAAGAGTTGCTGGTTTGAGACCTGCTGATTCGTAGAGCTGCCAGGTTTTGTGGCATTGCGTGGTAGAAGCAAAAAATATGTATAACCAAAGTTACAGAAATAAACAATAAATAACCAAAGTTCAAATGCTGGTCAGACAAATGTGAAACTAAATCCATGCCACAAGAACTTGCTGACAGATGAGAAGGGCTTTAAACATGTTGGCTCCATCTGCTTCTGTTGGAAAAGCTCACCTGTGAAAGGGGTGGTGGGGGCTGGAGCAGAGGGGAGGGATTCAAGGGATGGTGAAGAGAGAGAATGCTACAAACACAAACTCTGCCTAGGATGAGTAATACCAGCTTTGGAAGGGGGTGGGATGGGTGAAAAAGCATCTGTGAAAGTCATAGCTTGCTCAAGGGTGAAGCCCACATCCTTGCTCTGGGGCCAGAAGCCCATGGTGACCTGCTGGGTTTGGCCGTGGTGCTGCTGCCGGGGTTGATTCCAGCTCTTCCCAGACACGTACCCGGCTGCCTGCATGCTCTGGCTGTGGGACCTCACCTTGCCCTCGGTTTGCTCGTGGAATGGCAGAGCCGTAGCCCTGGCAGGGTCAGCTCTCCCTCCTCCTGCATGGGCACAGCATCAGAGTTGGCACCAGGAGCCGAGGATGTGCTGGCACCAAGACGTGGGCAGCTGCTTGGAGACCTCACCTGTTCCTACCAGAGTTTTCCCCTTTTCTGTGCTCTGTTATGTTAATCCCACGAATTTTGGGATTGGCTTCTTGGATGGTCCCTTGGGTTGCTTTACTCGATTGCTGCCCCGTGGAAGTGCAGAGCCTGGGTGCAACGGGATGTCACGGGTCCCCACGCAGTGCCAGAGAGGTAGGTGAGCCCATCCTCTAGTGTCAGGGCAGGATGTCTGTGCCTGACCCCATGCCGCAACTCTTTCCAGGTACTGGAGTAGACTGGGGAGACCAGAGCTGTTGCCTGTGCCCAGCTGCCACCACAAAGGTGACAACTGAGTTGGTACTGAGAGGATCCAACCAGCAATGTGGCTGGAGAAGGTGAAATCTTGGCTGCACCCAGGCAAAGTTCCCCTTCACCTTCATTCACCTTTTCTTCTCCTAAGAGCAGGAGAGGACGAAGTGAGGTCCCTGGGAGTTGGAACCACCCCACCCTTTTACCAGGTCTAGCATGTCCTTTGAACATCATTTCCCAAAAGTGCTGGTTCTCTGGAGCAGATCTATGGGTGGGAGGCATGTCCTTTGAGGAGCAGCTGAGCACTCTGGGTTGGCCTCGTTTGGAGAGGAGGAGGCTGAGGGGCGACCGCACTGCTCTGTGCAGCTTCCTGAGGAGGCGACGTGGAGAGGGAGGTGCTGGTCCCTTCTCCCTGGGATGCCACGATAGGACTTCAAAGCTGCACCAGGGGAGGTTCGGACTGGACATTGGGAAGCATTTCTGTACCAAGAGGGTGCTCAAGCACTGGAACAGGCTTCCTCTGGGGTGGGCCTGTCAGGATTTAAGAGGCATTTGGACAATGCCCTTAAGAACATGATTCAACTTTTGGTCAGCCCTGACGTGGTCAGGCAGCTGGACTGGATGACCATTGTAGGTCCCTTCCACCTGAACCAGTCCTGTCTATTCTGTGGGAGGAAAAGGAGAGACACTGGAACCAGTCCTGTCTATTCTGTGGGAGGAAAAGGAGAGTTGGGGGGGGGGTCAGAGAAGGGCAGATCTGTAGGAATTGGCCCTCCTGTGGACTTCAGACACTTCTCAATTTCTTGTTTGCCTTCCTCGACTGTCCCTGAAGCTTTTCCTAGTGCGCTGCTGTAAGAAATGTGCTTAATGCACGTGTCGGTGAGAACTGGAAACAAGACAAGGAGAGGGTTTGGATGTATGGAGAAGATAAGTGTTATCATGAGCTCCAGCATCCAGCTATGTTTGGGGATTTTTTTAACTTTATTACTTGAAAAAATCCAGAGATGTTACTCCAGCATCTTTTAAGGAGTTTGAACCTGCTGTATTTTTCATGGCCTGATAGGAAACAGCTCTGCAGTGCCCTGGCAGTGAAAGCCACTTCTCTGCCCTGGGGCCACCTTGCCCCAAGCTCCTCCACGCACTGAATCTCTGTGCTCCCCGTTGGCTCAGCTGTCCCAGCTGTGGGGTGGAGGGGACGAAGGATGCTCTTTGGCGGCATCCATCTCCAAGACCTGCCAGTCCTCCCACTTGGTGGGCAGAGGAACCGTGCGAGGAGAAGCTGGCAGGATGCAGGACCCTCACAGTTCCCAGCACCAAGACCTGAGATGACAGTCTTCACCCTTCCAGTCTCCCCCCTGCTGCCCACGTCCCTCCGTGTCAGGGGCACAGCTTGAGCCGTGAGTCCATCCCCACCCAGAGCCACAGGCGTAGCCTCTCCCCGGGACCTGGAGCCAGGCAGAAAGCAAAGATCGGGGCTTTGTTTTCAGAATCCACAAATGCCACCTGCCTGTCTGTAAAGTCCAGGCAGATCTGGATGGCCCTGGGGAGGCTGGCAAGGTGCAGGGGGGTCCAGTCAGGGTTGGTGAAAGCGTGGTATTGTCCGAACCACTGCCCCACAGCCCAGATCCCCTCCTGGGGGGACAAACTAAGGACCCCCTTCCTCTTGACAGATTCCTGGGCCACCCCTACAGCCCACCAGTCCCCCGCCTCGGCCACCTCCACCTCCCAGCTGTGCCTGCCTGTGGCGAAGCCCTGGCTGCCCAGCACGCACGGCTCCGTGTCGAACCGCTCGGGGTTGTCGGGCAGCAAGGTCCACTTGTCCCCCCGTTCCACGCCTCTCTGGTCACCAGCCAGGATGAGGAAGGGGTTGGCGGTGTCTGGGTCCAGGGTCACGTCGGCTGGGGACAGAGGAGGAGAAGCGGCTCAGGATAGGGGTGCGTCGGGGCTGTATCCACCCCAGAAAGAGAAGGGACAGGGCGATTTCCTTTCCCCCTGCCCAGAGGTGTCCAGTGTGGGGTGGGACATCCCCTCATGCTGGACTGCCCCAGCTTCGATGCTGCCCTGCCCCTGCTCCCGGCCCAGGAGCTTCCACGTGATCCCTGGCCAAGGAGACCCCAGGGTGCTGGAGGAGGATGCACCTGAGCAGAGGGGTGCACGTCTGCTGAGCAGACACCCAGACCTGAGCCTGGGGGTCTCTGGTGCTGCAGGAGTGAAATGGGCATGTCTGGGCACAAACCAGCACGACAGACATCACCCCAGGTTCCTGTTTCTTTCTGTGGGCAATGGAGGGAGCTGAGGATGGCAGCTCAGACGCCTTTGGTGGTGGTGTTGGATCTACAGCAGGAGGAATTCAGCTGGGGGTGTTGCAGCCACCAAGTTTCAGCCCCATGACAAGCCCAGGCTGTGACAAGCCCCAGGTGCTTTGACCCTAAATAGCTCTTCCGCAGCAGAAGCAGGATGCATTTTTCTGCTCAGCAGAGGATACTTCCCCCTCCTCTTCCTTTCTGAAAACTCACCTCTTCCGCTCGTCTCCTCCACCTCGCTGGCCACGGTCTCCCTCTCTTCTCTCTCCAGCCTGGATACCGGCATGTCTGCAGAAAAGCAGTGGGAGAGGAGGCAGGATTCCCTCTTGGAACTGGAAATTGCAAGACTCGGAGACCACCTAAAGGTAATGAGCAGCGGGAATGATGGAAGAGTCACAGCATTCAGGCACTTTATAGATGGCAGCACTCACCTGCAGGCTGACTCCAGGAAAGGTTCTGGGTGGATCTGAAGGTCTTCAGTCTGGTCTCCGCTCCCCTGAGCTCCTCACCAGCTCACGGCTGGACTGGGCTTGCACAGCATTTCCAGCTTGTCCGAGCCAGCAGATCAAAGTCCAGAGGGGCTGGATGGCCTGGAGAGCGCAGCTGGGAGTCTGGCACCTTCCCGGCTCTGCTGGGGACCACACCACTGGAGCTTCGACCACCTCCCGTGCCCTGAAGCGGCTGGCAGACGTGTGACCTCATCTAACACTTGAATTTGGGAGTTCCCTGCTGTGCAGCCATCCTGTTTGCATCACAGGAGCTGCTGCCTCTGCCCTCCCCTCGGCCAGCTGTGGGTGGGTGATAAGAGCTGGAAGAGCCCGTATCTTCCTGTGGCAGGATGCTCAGAGCCCGCCCGGGTCAGCGGCACCGTGTGCACCCCCAACCCCGTGGGACAGAACCATAGAATGGTTTGGGTTGGAACAGACCGTAAAGATCATCTGGTTCCAACCCCCCTGCCATGGGCAGGGCCCCCTTCCACCAGCCCAGGGTGCTCCCAGCGCCGTCCAACCTGGCCTTGAGCACTGCCAGGGAGGGGGCAGCCACAGCTCCTCTGGGCAGCCTGGGCCAGGGCCTCACC